ATGAACAGACGTTTCTACGAGCTGAGGGCATTTTAAATGTTCAGACCACTGACCATCATGTTTATATAGTCAGAATTGTGATCGTTGTTAAAATTTGAATCTTCCAGATTGAATGTGGGGCTACTTTTTCTGCTTAACTGACTCAGTCGAGATCTGTCAGGTGCAGCCATCACCAGCAGCGGACCCCGACCTCTCCCACCCTGACCTTGCTTTTTTTAAAACATAATAAACAAAATAGCCTACGGACAGTGGAACAAAGGAAAAACAAAAACAACGAAACTAACGGCAGGAACAGAAAGAAGAAAGAAACGGAGAAAAAAGCGAACAAATCCCAACAACACCAACCACAGCAACAGCAACAGCAGCCAACTGAACCAACCAAAGCAACCAGATCAGCATCATGAACACCCACAACCCGAACAAGGCAAACACCAGAAACCACACCCGCAAAAAGCGCAAAAAAAGGAAAACAAGGAAAACACAGTCGGCACACCCGGGACCCCACAGTCCACACATAGCAGAACAAAAATAACAAAAGTAAAAAACGTAAAATAAGATAAAGTAAATCAGACAAATCATACGATTAAGACAAACACAACACACACAGCCCACACAAAACAAAGAAAAAGACCGGATTTGGCCCACGGGCCTTGAGTTTGACATATGTGGTATAAACAGAACATATCACTGATGGTCTTTGAAACACTCATGTGTTACATTCTGTTTGGTTGGCAAACTTCACCAAATCCAGGCTTCAAATCCTTATACTTCATTAAAGCCACTTTCTTCTCTGTGTCTCATTTAAAACTTTGTCAAAAACAGTTTGCTCTGACTCAATTCTGTTCAAAAAAAAAAAAAAAAAAAGTTGTTTAGCACCACTGTGTAACCATTCCTGACTCAGCTACAACCAGCAGTGACGTGACAAAAATTCAGAGACTTTCCAGCTGAACTCTGCTGAACTGCAGACTGTTTACACAGAGCAGATAACTGAAAATGTTAGGGAGTAAAAAATGTAAAGTATGTAGGGTCATCATTCTTCTCTAAACATTCACCACCTGTGGGCACTTGGGAAAATGTTGCACCTGCTGATTCCAGGTTACAATTTTTGTAATATAAACAATCAAAGAAATTCTACTTTTTTTTGATGAGCTATGGCATTATAATTTTGCTATGCTGCACAGGAGACATTTTTAATTTTGCTCTGTGTTCAGTCATGCTTGTGCTGTTTCCACAGAGGTGCAGAATTTAAAAAAAAAAAAAAAAAAGAGCTCACAGTGAGTGAAACTGCTTGGGGCCCACAGTGAGCTAAAAGTAGTGACACTATCCCTTCAACGACATTTCAATACAAGGCAGCTTTTTGTTTTGGTGCTGTTTGACATTATTGATGCAAGAAGAAGCCCAGCAGCAGTTTGCATGAATAATTGCATGTAGTTGTTTTCTCATAAGCTTATGTGTCAACTGAGAACAGCAGTAGAACAGCCATCCACAAATTAATATGTTTCCTCCTCTTGGCACTTTTGCAATAAGTTGGTGTGAAATGAAGCAGAACTAAAAGGCTGAAATACATATATTTTTCCTGAAACAAACTACCACAAACCCAGATGTTTCTGACTGAAATTCCAACATCTTTGAACTTTATCTGCAGAAGGCTGCAGGTAGAAGGTGCAGCACTCCAGTGCAGAGTTGTGGATCTGCTGGCTGCAGCGAGCCACCAGCTGGTTTAAAGCATGCATCCCATGTACGGGCCTTCGCTGCCAATTCAAGCCCACGTTTCATCAGTTTGTTGACGGCTGTTCTCACATGGCGGAGTTTCGCCCGCAGCCACTTTCTCTCAGAAGAGCTTCGAACGCAAACAACTGCTGGCTGAGATCCAGTCTGAGGGGAATGTGGAATCCAGCTCGGTACTTCACACCAGAGGAAAGCAAACACAAGAGGAGTGTTAAAGGGCTCAGACTCATGGCAGAGTAAACACACCGGCAGGGAGTTTAAACGTCCTGGAGAGGAGAGTGACCTCGCTGACTGGTGCTGAGACGGTCACCGGGGTAATGGAGGCATTTTTCACCTCTTTGTTCTATTTTTCCCCTCTCTGAAAGGATGTTGTATCATAAATAACACTGTAGCATTCATTCACACTGGAGGCCCATTGTGTGCGCGGTGAATGGGCCGCATTATGAGAGCAGCAATAAATATAAGACGAGGAAGAATGGCTGCTGCCGTCTTTTTTTTTTTCCTGCGACTGTATTGGCTTCTGTTTGCTTCGCTGATGGTCACATTTACATTTACAGGCGCTAAGACATTTTTTTCTCCACTAACAGTCTGAACACCTGCAGAAAATCGCCTCTATTTAGAAAAAATAGGTGTAGCGTTTCAGATTCCATGGGCCTTTTTCCTACAGCATGAGCAGAAACTGCTATTACATTTTTACATTTTTCTTTTTGCAGCAAGGAGCTTTCTGTTTAGTTATTTTTTAACGGTGTAGTTGACATTGCAGCTGGAGCTACTGATTCAATACCATGGTTTGTCGACTTTTAGTGGCGCTGAGCCAGAAGTTAACGTCTCTATTCTACAGAATTATCTCGTCCATAGTGATACGAAGCAAACCCTGACTAAAAATTTGCACAAATATTTATTTTTTCAGCATGATACATAATGTAAAGGCCAGCGTGGGACGTGGCTCACCACATTGTAATATCTATACACCAGCATCGACCGGCCTGTCATATATTTTGATTAAGGAACAAGTACCATAACATTTTTGTTCTCCCTGCTTCTTTTTAGGCAAAGAATATGTAAATAGAATTGTGATTTTCTTATATTTATTTTCTAGAGTTATGCATTACAGTAAGTGGAATAAATAAAAATGAAAAGATCAGATATATAAAAAGGAATGTATTTTTTGAAATTGCAATGTCACTATATATTGAGTTAAATAAGATCAATTCAGAAGCAGTTTTTGGAATAAATAAAGAAATAAAAAAATGAATAAATATTTGAATAAATGAATGAATGAACAGAGAAGTTTTTGTTTTTGTTTCTTTCAGCAAATCAAATAACCTGCAAACTCCATCACATTGATGCAACGATCATAACATATCAATTCAATCCAATTTATTAGTTTTGATTAGGGATGCCCGATATTGGCATAAAAATGTAATATCCGTCAATATCGTTATCAGATTTTTTGCCTATAATGAAAACCGATAAAATAATGCCTGCATTTTGCCGGCATTTACAGTGTGCAAATGAGGATGTCACCAAACTGCGTTGTAAAGCGTGTAAACAAGCGTGGCTGCAGTAATAAGCTTGCTCACGCTGTGCCTGACTAACAGGAGATATGTGATGTTACTAGGGCTGGAGCCGAATATCCAAATAATTAGCCGCTGTGCTGATATCCGGATATCAATGTTGAGGTCAGAATTCACCAGACCAGCGGAACGCTGTTCAGGTGGTGGAAAAGGAGCCGACAGAAAGGCATGGAGAGGGCACTGCTGCTGTGCCACCACCAAAAAAAAAAAAAAGACAGTGGGAGATGTCCATGCTAATGCTGTCAGACGACAACGATGAACACCCTGAGGAACAAGATCAAAGTGCCAAGCAAGAGATGGAGCAGTATTTGGCAGACTCCAGTAAAGTCCAGTCTGGCCCACTTGGACGCTGGAAATAGAACTGTGACCGCTAACCTAGAGTTCAATTACTTGTGTCATCAAAATAAATATCTGAAAATACGTGGTGTTTGGAGTCTGAGTTTCAACTGTTGACGATTGAGCAACAGGCTATAAATCTAATCTAATAGCATCCATGTTGGCAGCATTAGGATCATCACGTTAACAAAACATCATTAATCAAAGCTTTTCTGCTTTACAACAGCCACATTATAAGCACAACCTTCATAATACCTATAATTCAGGCTTTAAAGTGTGAGGTCACAACAACTGACTGCTGAAACACACGGTTTACACAACATCTGAAAGTTGCGCTGCAGGTTTTCCAGCAGCTTGTTTTCTCCTCATGTGAGAATCTGATAAACACTTTCCCACAGACACGTGTTTGGACAGAACAGCTGCTCCTGTTTCTACCAACAACGGCGCCATTTACGCAGCACGATGCCGCGCAGAAATTGTGCTGAGCTGGGAAGGAGCCACACACACTGGAACATGCACGCACACGCCGAGCAGCTGGATGCAGTTTCATGCTCGCTACAGTTGCTTTCGGCAACTTTCTCCTCCCCTTTCGTTTGGCAAAGACTTGATGGGAAATTTCCCCTCGAATCTGATTCAACAAAAATGCTTTCTGCAGATCAACCATGACTCAAAAAAATCAGCAATGGCAAACAAAAAAATGTGACACAAACTTGGGATATCAGGTAATCGGTCTATCCCGATATGGTGGATTATCAGGGCCGGCATTTTTCTGATTATCTGTATTTCTATTGTTGATTACTGATAAACTAAATGCGCTACTTCAGGTCTCTCTGTCTGTCATCACTCTGTGGTCTCAGAAAAGGCTCTCAAGTCGAAACTGCAGAAACTCAACAAGAAACACAAGCCATTGTCGCAAACCAGCAAATTAGCTCTTTTCACTGTGACTAAGGCTGTGCTAACGGCCAGTGGATAAGTTAGAAGGCCACCACAGATTAACCTGAAACTCAGTCTGGAAACAATCATTAATGACGCTTTAAGACCTGGACCTTAATGGTTAGTAAAAGTGGCAGAACATTGAAAGATTAAGAAAATAGAGACAAACTGAACAATCTCAGTTAATGCCACATAAACAGAGCAGAGGATCTTAGTTTAATAACTCCTACTTCTGTTTTACATATTCAGTTATAGTGACCCTTATTAATGAAGAAGCCTAGTTATGAATGACAGTTTGCTGTTAAAACATTACATTTAATGTATATTGGTTTTGAATATTGGCTATCGGTCTTTCTTGATTACCAATATTCGTCATCGGTATCGGTCCTAAAAAAAATTAAAAATCAGTCGAGCCTTAATACAAACCTCTTGAAGGTGTCATCAGGGTCTCTTTGACAGCTGACAGGCTCCAGAGCACAGGCTACAGAGGGGCTGCTGAGGATGTCTTCGTACCCAGGAGGGAGCAGCGGCGAGGCCCTCAGCTGCTCCACCAGGCCCAGGATGAACCTCCACAGCACCAGGCTCCTCTGGTCCTCCCTCTGGCAGAAGTGGGAGGCCAGGCAGCGCTGCGCCAGCTCGACCGCCAGGCCTGCCTTGGAGGTGGGCCACACCACCTCGGTGCACAGGGCGGTCTTCCCGGCTCCGGGGCCTCCGGTCACCAGCAGCCCCGGCGCTTGGCCTGGCAAAGACCGGGCATCCAGGCAGCGCCGCAGCTTGTCCAGGGCCCATTCCCGGCAGTAGAAGCGCTGGCCCTGGAGCAAGCTGGAGCTGCTGCCGAATCTACTCATTTGCTCCCGGGGGTCTGACATCCAGGGGACAAGTCGGTGCTCTTACCTCCCATACTCCTCCGGTGGTTTCACTTTATTAGGCTGAGCTGGTTTGCACGGACTGTGTATTTCCTCAACCTGTCAGTTCCTGAAAGTGTTGCATCAGGCAATTACTATCAGTTGCTATCCTCCTGTAGGTTCTCCAGGTGTCACAAGGGAAGGAGAAAGTCAGCAAGAGGTCTTCATTTGTCTTCTCGGGCTCCTTGGGTTTGAAGCTCCATTGTTTCCACCATGCTTGTCCTCCAGGTGCTGCTCTGTCAGGAATCAGAAAGAGACAGAAGGAATGAGTCGCGAGAGAGAAACTGACAGGATGTTTTTTCAATGATTCAATGACACCGTGTCTCACCCCTCCTCCGTATTCCAATTACAGCTTCAGTCTTCCCTCCTCTTTCACTTTCTGTCCCGCTTCTCTTTTCGGCATCGAGCCCCAAACTGCAGCTGTAGCATGAAATTCCCTTTTCCTTTCTCACACTCACGGTTCTTTCCCTTCATACCTCACGCCTCCCTCTCATTCTCTCACTGGCTCTCAGCCTGACATGCTCTCCGGTTTTTCTTGTTTTTTTTTTTTTTTTTTTCTCCTTTCCTTTCCTTGTCTCCACCCACCGCTGGTGTTTGTCGGCATGTCGAGACATGCACAGGAGAGCAGCGAGCAGAGAGGGAGGACTGGTAGGGCTGACAGGTGGGAGTGGTTACCTGAGGTCAAGGTTCAGTCGCAGGGCAACACAACACCTCTGACTTCAGAAGTAGGTGATTTATTCATGCAAAGCCGCTTCACGCTGCTAAAGTTTAGTCATTAAAACTATCTTTTAGTGCTTTGAGGAACTGCTGTCAACAAAGCATAACCTTTAATTTTACTGAATTCTGACTGACTTTGAATCAATAATCAAACAAAAATTCAGTCTGTGTTCTCAGCTTCTAAAACTGTTTTTTTTTTGTTTTTTTTTAAATGTCTTTTTAATTTAATACCTTTGGTTGGAATAAAAAATTTTTTTCGGAAGTTCCATCCATCCATTTTCTATACAGCGCTTAATCCTCACTAGGGTCGCGGGGGGGCTGGAGCCTATCCCAGCCGACTTAGGGCGAAGGCAGGGGACACCCTGGACAGGTCGCCAGTCCATTGCAGGGCCACACTTAGAGACAGACAACCAATCACACTCACATTCACACCTACGGACAATTTAGAATCACAAATTAACCTCAACATGTTTTTGGACTGTGTGGGAGGAAGCCGGAGAACCCGGAGAGTACCCATGCTGCACGGGGAGAACATGCAAACTCCTTTTTTGGAAGTTGTCATTAGAATATACTACTGTTTTTCTAAAAAAAAAAAAAAGTGTTTTGGTTTAAACAACAATCAAGTGTTTAAGCAATAAAGAAAATAATCATTAGCACTCACAGATTTAATTTATAGTTAATTAAAACTATCTTTTAGTCATCTGAGGTGCTGCTGTCAACAAAGTATGAACTTTGAACTTAATTTTATTTATTTATGAATAACTTTGAGGTGATTAATCAGGCATTAATCTCAATAATTTGTCCACTCAGCTGCTAAAATGTGACAATTTTCTGTCTTTTATATCAATATGTCTTGAATACGTTTAAGTTTTCAACTGTTTGTTGGGGGGCTGCAAGATGGAGCGGTGGTTAGCATTGTTGCCTCGCAGCAAGAAGGTCGCAGGTTTGCGTCCCGGTGAGGGCACCCGGGATCTTTCTGTGTGGAGTTTGCATCTTCTCCCTGTGCAGCGTGGGTTCTCTCCGGGTTCTCCGGCTTCCTCCCACAAGGTCCAAAGACATGTTGAGGTTAACTGGAGATTCTAAATTGTCTGTATGTGTTAATGTGAGTGTACTTGGTTGTCTGTCTCTAAGGGTAGCCCTGTGATAGACTGGCACCCTGTCCAGGGTGTCCCCTGTCTTTGCCCTAAGTCAGCTGGGATAGGCTCCAGTGAAGATTAAGCGGTGTAAAGAAAATGGATGTATGTATGTATGTATGGACTGTTTGTTGGAATAAAAAGCAATTAAGAAGAGCAAAGCTTATTTGCATTTTTTGTTTTTTTTCCCATTTTGAAAATGATGAAAAGTCAACAATGTCATCTTATTGCATCCCTCAACTACTTAATATAAAGATAATTATTTTTAGTTTGTCCTTAATGTGTTGATATGAGGATTTTTTTTGCAATTTTCACACAATTTTCTATCTTACTACTACTACTAGAAAAATATCATTAACTTGAAAACTGATGAAAACGTAACTGAACCGACTGACCCTTTTTCTACTAGAGAGAAATGATACAAGGAAACTGCTGATAATATAACTTTCAGGTGCATTTCCACCGTATGAACTCTCCCCAGATAATAGTATTCTTTTTGAACCCACTTCCTGCCTGCACTAGTGTTTCCTGCAGCGCTGTGTTTCAAAAACCTGCAAGCATGCACTTACTTTGTAGTTTGTGGATGCCAACAACTAGAATGGTGCAGCCCAAGAGATTTTGATGTAGCAGCCACAAAGCCCAGGTTTTACTGTGTATTTTTGCGATGGATGGCATTCAGACAGAACTTGAGACTGTCGTACTTTTGAAACATCAGCAGGCTAATTTCTTCAATCCTCCCTGTGCTTATGTAATTACAATGTGTTGAAAGAACGTTTACCCATGAGAAAGTTCTTGGGAAAATAACCTTTCTTAAAACTTTTGATAGGAAAGTGCCTTTAAACTTCAGGAAGACGCTGCCACTATTAGCAAATAGTTTGCAAATTGCTTTGAAAAATTACAGTAATTATGCAATTTTTGGTTTTAACAAGCAATCACACCACCATCCACATTTTTTCCCAACGTATAATCAGCTGGGAGGAATTTCCAACATGCATCTGCATTTTATGGACAAAAGGCGCCTTTTTAAACTAATGGGGAAGGAACAAGGTGGGGTGAAAGCTTTTCAGCCTTTTTATTGGAATGATTGGAATGTATTTGCAACGGCTTTCACTGTGACGTCAATTCTGAGCAAAACAACATCCATAAATGGTTGCAACTGAGATGGTTGTTGCGTCGCTGTTTGTTGTGTCGCTGTTTGTTGTGTTGGCCTACGAGGTGTGTCAGAAAAATTCTGATGTTGGTGTTCCAAAGATACATTTCAAACCCAAACTACAAACTACGAGTTTTCCCCTTGAGACGATCAACCAGCACATCTACAAAGAGATCCTACGGTGTTTGCTTCGTTCAGTGCGCAAGAAGAGGTGAGAGTTGTGGCAGGACAAGTCATGGCTGCTTCACCAACGCCCTGAGCATCCCACAGTTCTTGGCTGAGAAAAACATTGCTGCGCTGGAGCAACCTCCCTACTCACCCCACCTGGCTCTGTGGGATTTTTTCCTCTTCCCCAAGCTCAAGGGGGTCATCAAGGGGGCCTGTTTTAAAGACGTGGACGACATCAAGATGGCTGTGACGACAGCACTGTGCCTTGAATCCTTCCAGGAGTGAATGGCGGCAGAGAAGGCTGGGAAAGTACGTTACACTCCAGGGGGATTACTTCAAAGGGGAAAAATTGTAGTTTGGATTTGAAATATATCTTTTGTGACACCAGTCCTGGAACTTTTCTGACACACCTCTTATATGGCAACTTTTGACACTGTTAAAGGGGATGTTTATGAGGAGACGACTGCTACTTGAAGAGACTATCAGAAGAGAAGATGTGGAACTTGTTGTCATCTCCTCCAAGTTCAACCAATAAGCCAACCAGCAAGTTCTCAAGTCTCAAGGAGTGTTTTTAACTCCTAAAAACAGCCCTGAAAGAGGTGCAACAGGGGCAGCTCCAACTCGCCTAAAGGTGCACGATATTAAACAGCCTAATGTAGGTTTTTTAGTCTACAGAATATGAAGTACAGTATTTCCTCTACAGTCATTTAGGAGCAGCGGGCCACCATTCCCAAATCCTAGCCGCTGCTCCTTCAAATTTCTTTCTTTTTTTTTTTTTTGCTGTAATACACCACTGCTGCATGTCTTCACCTTTACAGCAGAGTCCTGCACTCGGCTGGGTGCTCGCGACTACTACAGTAAACTACAGATAGCTATCTTGCTCAGTATCTACTGTCTGTGGGTTAATACAACTTTAATTGCTCGCGAGAGTGCAGTCGTGAAAGTGACACTGTTTATTCCGCTCATAGACTGCATGAGAAAAAAAAGACTCTGTTTCATCTTGGACAAATCTCACATTAGAACGCTCTAGTTTACTCTTTTTAAAGTCATCTTTGGTCGCACACCGGTCTGAGCAATGCGGCCACCAACAGCAGCTACCGCAGCCTGCTATGTGGGGCATTCAGGGAACATCGGAAATTGTAGAGTCTATCGATAAGAAAATGTTCAACCGGTCATATGTTTTGCCTGTGATTGCACTGGTGCTGCAGGGTGGCGCAGTTGGTAACACTGTTGCCTCGCAGCAAGAAGGTTGCCGGTTCGCGTCCCGGTGGGGACACTTTTCTGCGTGGAGTTTGCATGTTCCCCCCGTGCAGCGTGGGTTCTCTCCGGGTTCTCTGGCTTCCTCCCACACAATCCAAAAACATGTTGAGGTTAACTGGTGATTCTAAATTGTCCGCAGTTGTGAATGTGAATGTGCTTGGTTGTCTGTCTCTAAGTGTAGCCCTGCGATAGACTGGCGACCTGTCCAGGTGTCCCCTGCCTTCGCCCTAAGTCAGCTGGGATAGGCTCCAGCACCCCCGCGACTCTAGTGAGGATTAAGCGGTGTATAGATAATGGATGGATGGGTTGCACCGGTAGAAAAAACAAACAAAAAAAGAGTTAGTCTGGAGTCCTGTGTGGACTTCTGTGTGGCACAAGCGCTGTTCGGTAAATGGCTACATATGCAGTGGCATATGACGTGGCTCTAACTTGGCACCTGGCCAATGAAAACCGGTTCTTTGGAAGTGCCGGATTTGAACCAACTAAGCATTGGAACTAGCACCAGCACGGAACTAGCACCTGGTTCATACTGGTAGAAAAGAGGTAGAGTCAGAGGACGGTCGTCTTGGAGAATAGTGCAGCGACTTATTAGCTTAAGGTAACTCAGAATAGATTTTACAAGTTAAATAGACTTTCGCAAAACATTGAAGGCCCGCTATTGTTACATAACATATCGGTAGCTTAAGTTTATTGGGCCCAGGGTCAACTCAGTGTCGCAAATGTGAGTAAACTAACTGATAGTATTTAGCTAATATCTACACGCCATGATGGAACTGCTGACTGCATCTTCAGATGAGCTTGTTCAACTATTTCTCTAAGAAGAGAAAGACACCTGATGAAGATGACGCGAGCCAGGTATCATTAGCCTTTTACTGACTCATAATGATGATGGTCAGTAAAAAATAATGTAATGATATATCATCAGACATAAACTAGAAACAATTTTAAATGATTAGGGTGTAGGAAAATGAGAGAAACAATCATGATTGTTTCTATTTGTCGGTGAAGATTGACTAGAGAAACAGGCTTCAGGGGATCAGCTTGCATCATAAATGCTGCTGAGCATCAGCAGTCACCTCTAGGAGAATTTCTCTACAACAGAGCCTTGGAGCTCTTTTATCAAAATAAAACAAAAAAAACCTTACATTTATTTATTTATTTTTTATTTTTACATTCAGCCTTTAAAAAGCCATTTTTAATTGGCCATTCAATAAATAGGTTGTAAAACTAAAATTTGCAGTCAAATGTCATTTGTTTATGCCGCCACGGCTCCCCGGAGAGCCTGGCCCCGCTGCTGAAAAAATCCTAGAGGAAACACTGAAGTATATCTAATTTTTGCAATTTATCCAGTATGTATAATACTATCCATAACAAATAGAATGATGAATGTGGCAGAGAACATATTGGACACCACATGAATCATATGGCTGTGACTAAAAGGACAAAAT